CTGTCTTATGTGTGATGCAGGGGAGCTGTGCCTGTCTTATGTGTGATGCAGGAGAGCTGTGCCTGTCTTATGTGTGATGCAGGGGAGCTGTGCCTGTCTTATGTGTGATGCAGGGGAGCTGTGCCTGTCTTATGTGTGATGCAGGCTAGTCAAAAAACTTGTTGCCATTGTATGTTTATCTTGATAGTCAATATGGCCATTAAGATATAATCATTTATTTTTGTTGACGCAATATCTGCCGACGTCAACCATAATCCCCAGGCCATTAGCGACCAACAGTATTGACGACGGGTGTGATTAGGGGTACCTCTGCAGAAATAAGTTCATTATTCTATCGATTGGGGGTAAATATGGTTGCCAGATCTCTGGAAAGAAACACCATTACCAATGGGTAATGTATTTCTAGGTTGAGGTTTGAAACTTAAACTCGTTTATGTATCCATAGACAAAGAGTCGAATCGTGACTCATTGAATTTTTCACATAATGGCGACCCATTATTGTATAAGTGCCCTATTCACACTCTGATTCCTAAAGCCGCCCTCTCGATCCCCCCGTCGACAATTTACAAGGAACTTAAAAGTCGAGAATTTTCAATAATAAGGAACTTAAACGTCGAGAATTTACAATAACAATGAACTTCACCCCACACAGGAGCCGACAGCAGCTCGATGTCAGGGCTGCGGAGCCACGCCAGCGGCGCCGTCGAGTTCGCATACGACCGCGTCTTCGGGCCGAAACACACCCAAGCTGACGTGAGTTGCTCTCATTGTGAGCTTTGTATTTATTAAACCTGCTTGTTATTTGGCATACTGAATCTGTGCTTTATTTTTTAATTGTTGGTATAGTTAATAGACATGGATTTATGGCATTTTCCCAAACTCTGTAAAGAGTCGGGATCTTTTTAAAGGATCGCTTTCAATTAATGGATTATGTAGATATTTGTCATTATACTATATTTGTAAACAAAGGTTCACAAAGGTTTTAATCTCAAATATAACGTCTTTTAACGACTTTCACGAGGCCGTTATTAGATATGGAAAGTATTTCATATAAAATTTGGTTATAAAATATTTTGCATCACCAGTACTACAGTGGATGATTTAATAGCATCTCGAGACAAACACGGAGTCTGGGGTTCATATTTGAACGCTAATCCTCCAAGTAGATAACATGTTCCCATATTACTCATACCTTTTCCTTTACGCGAGTTGATGCGTGATGCCTGTATCTTGATAGCTAATCTCCCAATAATTTTTCTTTCTGTACTGATTAAAAATGGTAGCTTTTCTGCTATGTGGTTTGGCAGTGTCCATGTCTGGTGTTGTTTGCAACCATGCATCTTTGTGAACTTCATTTGCTACGACAGCTGATTAGCTGCACATTATCGGGCAGTCATAATGTTCTTAACAATATAATAGACCGATTTAAACATTCTCTCCTTTGGAGGGTTATTAACTATAACCATGAACATAACTGGGAAGAGTACAAATACAAATAATTAGCGTGTCATAGTTGTTGCAAGATCACGTGATTTAGTAGCTTTTGTTAGTAATCAGATGTCATTTATGTTATTTCTCCCATTAGGTATTTGAGGAAGTGTCTCAGTTAGTGCAGTCTACGCTGGACGGCTACAACGTCTGCGTGTTTGCATACGGGCAGACGGGCTCTGGCAAGACCTACACCATGGAGGGGGGCAGCGGTTCTGATGCTGGCATCATTCCACGCACCGTGGACCATATTTTTACGGAGATGACGCGGCTGGCAGAGCAGGTGACTTGTGATGCATGTTTTTACCAATAAGCAGCAGCATTGGAACTTCTGGTAAAGTTTCAACCAGGAACACTCGTCCCCACTGCTTTTGTTCAATTAATTTTCTTCTGAAATGTTACGTTACTAAAAAAATTTAATTTCGTCGTTATGTTACCTCAGAAGTATAATTGTCGGCAAACCCTTAACTTTTCAGCTGCTCACTGTAGACCATTTATGACCATTTCATGCTGATATACGTGTATGTGCATGAGGATTAAACAGAATCTCATCAAGTCTGGTTGAGTGCAATTTAATGCGCTTTCTGCAGGGCTGGGAGTATAAGATGGAGGTGAGCATCTTAGAAATCTACAACGAAGCTCTACGTGACTTGCTGGCCTCCCCTGCAGACGTGAAAAACCTCTCATATGAAATCAAACTGACTGACGCTCGCTCCGCCCACACCCACGTGACCAACCTCAGGGTGGGTGCCCCATTTTATTGCATAGAGCCGTGTGTGTACCCCACTGTGTGGTATAGAGCCGTGTGGGTACCCCACTGTGTGGCATAGAGCCGAGTGGGTACCCCACTGTGTGGCATAGCGCCGTGTGTGTTCCACTGTGTGGCATAGAGTACCCCACTGTGTGGCATAGAGCCGTGTGGGTACCCCACTGTGTGGCATAGAGCCGTGTGTGTACCCCACTTTAGGGCGAGTAACTGACCCACACTAACCACCAACTAACCATTCGTGACCGGGGGCCATACTTTCAAAAAAAGTTGAGAGATCGTAAGTTCATCAGCCAATCACTGCGGGCCTTTCAAGCAAAATCCACCAATAGTGGAAAAGAAAATAGAGCGTAAGTATTTACGTTCACTTAGCGAGTTCTGAAGGTATGGCTCCTGGACTTAGATCCGATGACGGATAATTTTGACAAAGGGTTGATACTCTGACTTTAACGACCAAGTTGCTCAATATTAAATTTATTTCTGCAACTATTAACTATGTTGGAGCTGAATCCAGTATTATTCTTAGAATAGTTTACTGCTAAAAGCTAGGAATTCTTCTAAACGCAATTTTAATTTCCAACTCGTATCAGCCTGGGCTGTGACTGCTGTAGCAGAGATGTTTTGTTGTATGAAAAGAATAAAAAGTGCCTCCTATTTGGACAGTATCTCCTCTCATTTCTGTGAGTGCGTGTATATACTCACCAAAATATTAAACCCACTCATTTCTGTGAGTGCGTGTATATACTGTCACTGTAGCGCAGTGGTTATAGGGCCGCTGTATGCGCAGTGACGACGGTAGAGCGGCATCGAGATGGAGGAGCTAGGCGTGGGTTCGAGCCCCGGGAAGTTCAGTTAAATTCTCGGTGTCGCTAGAGGACGGCGCATAGTCGCCGTCAAAAGGTGGTGCTTTCAGCATGGCCTTGGGTGTGTGTCCCTAAACACTCTGGGTATGTTACCTGGGGGGATCTTAGGGTCTCTCGCGATCTTAAGGTTTTTTATACTCAGCAAAATGTTAAAGTGTAGGTACTGCGAGCAGTTGGTGAGCGTGAGCAGTCCTGAGGAGATCTACGAGTTGCTGCAGCTGGCACAGAGTCACCGCGCCGTCGCCGCCACCAACATGAATGCCAGGAGCTCGCGGTCGCACTCGGTCTTCCGCCTCGCACTCTCTGGCACTCAGGCCTCGTCTGCCACTACTGTTCAAGGTACGCACGTCGCTGTGATGATAAATATTTTGTCTTAGGTATATTTTGCTGAATGTGATGCTAATTATTTTGTCTTAGGTATATTTTGCTGAATGTGATGCTAATTATTTTGTCTTAGGTATATTTTGCTAAATGTGATGCTAATTATTGGCATTACAATTTTTCGCTGTGATGCTAATTATTTTGTCTTAGGTATATTTTGCTGAATGTGATGCTAATTATTTTGTCTTAGGTATATTTTGCTGAATGTCATGCTAATTATTAGCATTACAGCTTTTTGCTGCGATGCTAATTATTTTGTCTTACGTATATTCTAATAAATGTGATGCTAATTATTGGCCAAGTATTTTTTTTTGCACTGTTATGCCAGGTATTAAGTGTGGTGGCACTTTGCTGCACAATATTTCATTCAACTTATAAAAATTATGTCTAGCTGCTCGATATTTTTTGTTGCTAGATATTGTTTGTCGCACTGTGGTGCTGGGTATAATGTAGTGTGTTGTATTGTGGTACTAGGTATAGAGTGTTGTATTGTGGTGCTAGGTATAGGTAGTGTGTTGTATTGTGGTGCTAGGTATAGGTAGTGTGTTGTACTGTGGTGCTAAGTGTAGTGTGTTGTATTTTGGTGCTAGGTATAGTGTGTTGTACTGTGGTGCTAGGTATAGTTTGTTGTACCTACTGTGGTGCTAGGTATAGTGTGTTGTACTCTGGTGCTAGCATAGCGTGTTGTACTTTGTTCCCGGATGTTGGGTGATGCGCTGTGATGCAAGTTATTGTGATATGAAGTATTGTGTGTGGTAACATACGAAGACGCTGATATGAGTGACAGCAAAATACGCAGTGGCATCCACACAAAGCATGTCATATCTGAAATATTCACCCAGCTTCCTGTTGCAGGGAGTCTGAGTTTGGTAGACCTGGCTGGGTCTGAGCGGCTGAAGGAGTCAGGGTCTCAAGGGGCCCGCCTCACGGAGACGCAGAACATCAACCGCAGCCTCAGCAACCTTGGCAACGTCATCATGGCCATTGCCCAGAAAGTATGTTTAGTGCTTTTGTTGCACACTCACAAAACGAATTGGTCATATTGTCCAAATAGTGTCCAACTTTCTTACTCACAACACGAGTAGAGAGCTGACGTGTAGAAGGGAAACGTCCGTTTGCCGGGCCAAGCGGGGTCATTCTGATACAAGTGATGAAGTGCATTTATATTTGGATAATGCCCTGTATAATTTCTGTCGTGCATGCACGTATATTGTATATAATTGAATTATCCTGTAGATGTAATGCTATGAATTTAAAGTGAAGCCGATATTAATTATATTTCCGTTGAGTCTCGAGACGAACACGTTCTCACACTTAATGTTATGGCATCCGTTGTCATTTGTGCCATTCAACTGAGATCTAAGTACACCTACTTATCATATCTCATTCTTTTCCTTGGTTCAACTCAATAGTTAGTTCGGCAAATAATACAAAAATTCTATTGGGTGATGCATCTATTTTTATATGTAAGCCTACAGTGTCCCCACCTCACCCCGACGGATGTAGTGGGGGACACGTGTACAACACACGTTATAATAATATACGTGTGTTGTACAGCATTAGAGTAATTGTCTAATATTCGTGTCTTATCTCACAGCAAACAATATTCGTGTCTTATCTCACAGCAAAGTCACGTGCCGTACAGAAATTCCAAGTTGACGCACCTGCTTCAGGCGTCACTGGGCGGCAACTCAAAGACATTGATGCTGGTAAACGTGAGCCCCCTGGACGCGTGTATCAACGAAACGCTCAACTCGTTGAGATTTGCGGCCAAAGTGAACGCATGCCACATCGGCACGGCCTCTAAAATGGCTAAAAAAGTGTAATATAACTTTTTTTGTATATAATAACTTTTGAAATGGCCATCATGTTATGTATTATATATTTCGCTTTTTCTGAGCTGAAGTGGTGGTGGAGTGAATGTTTTATTAATCTGCTTTGCATTTTCGATGATTTGCTTGTCGTTTTAAATTCTTATTTCATCTGCGATTAGGAAATAATCCTCGGTGTGATATTTGATATCACACCGTTATTTTGATAACTTTTTCATAAAGATATAAAAATTTAATGTTTTTGAATTAGGGTACTGCAAACTTGTATTTTCTACCTATGCTACTGCTTCGATGGTCAAATTTCTTGTATTGCATATGCCATGAATTGACATGTAGAAAAAGGCAAGACGCTTCACTTGAAACCTAAGGGCTTGATTTTCATTTGATGTTCGCTTGTATAATTATTGTTTATAGTGCAGGCGCACAATTAAACTTATGTAATCTTTATTTTATGCGCATCTTAGCGCCACGATTTGAGCCCATCATGATCCTACGGGGCGGAAAACCTGATGAATATTAGAAATATTATACCTTAATTCAGGTCTGAAGACTAACAAACTAGCTTAGTCGCTCGGGCGACTTTTCTGTTTTCATTGCTCAAGCCTTGCATGCTATTGAGAAAACCTATTTATATACTTTTTCAAAAGTCTTTGCAATCATTGACTTTACACGAACTCTTATCATCCAAAACATCATTAAACTTCTTCGTCTCATCATCATTGACTTTACACGAACTCCTATCATACTTAAACTTCGCCTCTTCCGTCTTCTACTATCATCCAAATCATCATTACACTTCGACTCATCCTTCTACTACTATCATCCAAGTCGTCATTAAATTTATTCGTCTCTTCCTCCTTCTATCATTAAGTCATCATCATACTTCTTCGCCTCTTTCTTCTCGGAAGTGCAATAGGCCAACAGTGTAATTTTCTCGAGTTGTTGAAGCGTCAATTAACGATTTTTTCTAATGTTAACCTGGGCCATAATTAAGCCTGGTACTTGGTGACAGTTTCAACCAAACTGGTTACGGTATTAGCATTTGTTCCTCCATTGGCGTTCTTCTTCCATCTTCTCCTACACTGAATTTTTTTTTCTCTTTCTCTTCCTGCCATTGTATAAAGAATATTCGACCGTACGTTATTCTTAGTCTAGCGACTAATTAGTGTGGATAATGTGTATTTCCATCCCCGTGTACTTCTAAAGGACGCACGATTTAAGACAAGCGGTGCCAGGTTTTTAATCTCTTGAACCTGCTTGAACCTTCCCTATTATTTGTGTTATTTTTTTCATAATGAAAATTTTTTATATGGCATTATAATTTTAGCTTCAATTTTAAGGTTTGTTTTTAGGTTAAGGGCTGCAGTAGGGTATTCTATTTTCAGGGCAGTAATAATTTTTTTTATTTATATTCGTATATATGCAGCGAAAAAGTATCACGTCGCTGATTGGTACCTAGGTAATTGTAGCTGTCTGTACAAAGTAAAGATTTATAGTTAAATGGAATCAATCATTATTTTGCCCTCAGATAGCTCGAAGTATTTTGATTGAATAATTCATATAAATTCTTCAATTGTTAAGCGGCTGCGTTGTCAAGGCTTTGTGCAGCAAAGGCTTGAAGGAAATTATTTAAGAAAGTAGATAAATCGAAATGAAGTCGCCGGTACTGTAGCCAGTTCAATGCTGCAGCCTACAGCAGGTGGCTGTAGCGTGGCTTCTCCATTGCAGTTGAATTAATTCCTCGTGAACTGGATTGACAAGAGGGAAGCTTGTACTTACATGCCTGATAGTCCATAGCAAAATGAATGGTTTAAACTTAAGTAGCGAAGGAAAGTAAATAAGAGGCGTTGAGCGTCAGGCTTATTTATTATGGAAGGATGAGGCACGAAAAAGTCAAACCCTGGACTAAATTCATCGAATAAAATATCGAAGCTTCAGATCATAAGTTTTGCCGTAGTAGGTGATTGATCAAAGACCATGTGAGTCTATTGAAAGTCTCATGATGACAAAGGGGCTTACTTAGACGAACAAACTTAACACAAACATATTCTGCGAGAGAACACTTCTAACATGAGACACATTAATACACTTGCAGTTAAGGAAACAACCTCTGGACGCACAACAGCGTCCCGCGACTCCATTGTTCGCTAGTTGCCGGCAGCTTAATATAAGTCACCTCAGGACCTCGCTTTCCTTCCTATGTTTCGAGTTGAGGGCAAATTTATCATTAGACAACTGCGGCTACACTCGCAAGTTACTGTGGTGGTCGTAAGTTCTACGGCGGTGGTCGTAGGTTCTACGGCGGTGGTCGTAGGTTCTACGGCGGTTGAGTTTAACTTCGGTTTCTGGATGGCAATTGGCTGATCTGTCATGGTGTAATTTTGATAAGCATCTTCCCTATTATTATATTTCTATTGACATTTCACCTACTATGGAGGATGATAACATAAATATCTAAAAGTTGCAGTCGTATGCTCATAATGTAAGACATCACCGTAATTTACGACCACCGCAACAACTTGCAAGTGGGGCCGCAGTTCACTGGCGTGCAGGTCTAGAAATAGTAAGGCATTAATAGTTCCTTGAAACGCCAAGTTTACTTTTAGAAGAAAGAATCTTGTAGTCGTCCTCGTCGTCTCGCTTTTGATTTGGAATGGCTGACGATGATGGATCTTAATAACGTTAATTATTCAACAACTTTTATTTTGTATATAGTATATACAATAACAGGCATTCATTATAAAGATAAATGGATAAAGCCTCACTAGAATGAGACTCTATATTTCTACTTATATGTCGGAAAGAAGGAGCAAATCCGCAGGAGCGATGGCATGTCTAGAAGTTAGCGAATGCATGTCAAAATTTGACGAATTACGAAACTGAGAAGTAGAGAAAACGAGACCGAAACGCAAGTTTGAGTTGACTTCCCGGAGCAGCAGCGATTTGGAACGAGCTGTGCCAAGGCGAGTCTCGAGAATGAGGGCAGTCAAGTTAAATTACACATCCGGTACTCTGAGAGATGACGGAGCGTAAGAATTGTTTGAAAAAAAGGCTCACTGGATAGGCGGGACTCGTTGGAACTTCCCGGCTGTGCTTCCTGACGACGTACAGGCTGACTTGAAGGACGATCGGGGGTAGGGGGCTCGGAAATCATAAAATCAATGAGTGATGCAAAGGTCCCGTATTTGGGCTAGGGACAGTAAACGGCCTACGCTTTTAGTTAAGGGCTTCAAACGTCAGTTTCGGGTGACTAGGAACCGAAGCATTCAGACACCTGAATACTTCGTGATGTATGTGCTCGTGTTGAATCGGACAGTACACCTCAATTGACAAAAGAGAAACAAAACGTATTTTTCAATTGAATAAGACAATATTCCATGAAAATATGATCGTCACCCTGGAAATGAGAGCGCGCGTTTGTTATGCGGTCAGCATAGCATTAAAGTGTGGCAAGAGACAGCCAGGAGCGCTCTAGCGGGTAACCGCCTACGCCGCGTTCACCACCGCAACGATCAAGAGGAAGAAAGTTCATGGTAAGCGCGGCAGCAAGAGCACCACCGCAGCTATAGAGAAGAAGTAACGGTACGGAGCTAAAGAGCAGAGCTTCTATTTCTTTCTATGTTGAAGCAGCGGAATAGAAGGAGTAGAAATAGTTCCTTACGAAGCTTTCAGCATGCCAGCTTCTACCGTTTTTTCAAATGACTCGTAGTAGGTTAACATGCTTTTCATGATACAAGTCACCACTCATATAATACTGATAAAGGTTTTTCGAATTATATGGTTTTGGATTTTAGTAAACTCGAAGAAAAATATGTTATCTCGAAGATTAGCAAAGCTTGTCTCATTACGCGGCAAGAACACGACCCAAGAAACGGGAGCAGAGCGAGACCGCAGGTAAACACTCGTTGGCAACTTTGCAATGCCAGACAGCGGGCACTCGGTGAGGAGTTCGCGACAAGGCAAGAGTATCAGATAAGCACAAACGAAACGTCGAATAAGGACTTTCCTTGCATTCCAGCGACAAATTCAATGAACATATCCATGTAAAAGTTAACCAAGTTTCAGCATCAATAGGATGAATTTGATGTGAAGACAAAACGCTCTCTTTTTCCCGACAATCCGAAACGCGATGTCATCAAGCGAAAGATTAAATTAAAGTGCTGGATAATGAATTTCATTCAAATTTATTCGATGTTATGAAAAGTACTAATTATTGCTCGAGAATTTATTCGTTGTGCAAGTATGAGGCTTGGTTACTGTGCCGAACGATGTTGAAGCAGAGAAAGAATTTTCGATACGTAGCACATGAAAACAAGCAGTTATCTCTCAAATAGTTTTATGGCTAAATTATTTTGAAGTGATTCCAAGCTCGATACCGACAAACTGGAATTTCAACATATCGGTTACATAAATGATGATTGACTGAATGATGTCCGTAAATGTTTGGTAGAATTTTTTGTAACAGAAAGGTAAACTGGCAGATCATCGTGATGTTTATACGAGCAATATGAAAGATCGTCCGTCGAAGTAAAGAGAAAAGTAGAAGTAGACTATGAGGGAATGCACGAGGGCTCCCGAGGAAATATAGTCTTCTTCTGCAGTGTAGAATTGTGAATTATTTCCATGCGTTGCAGGACATCATCGAGTTCGAATTGGCAAAGGACTTGAAGTTTCTTCAGACGAGCGTAAACTTTGTTAAGTTCGAAAGTTCTTGGCGCAGGCAGTAATTGGCTGATGATAATTCGCAAAATAATTGGCAAAAATGGTGAATCTCTGCAAATTTTGAGTATAACGCTTTAGGCCGAAACAACCAGCCTTCAAGCGTTGGCTACGATGACCATTTTTTCGAATGCGAACTTGAAGCTTGTAAAAAATTCGATCTAATGAGTAATTCGTAATATTTCATGCGGAACATCAAGTTTCCTCGAACTTCAAACTATGAGCCTGAAAAATCACATGAATTAGTTACAGAATAATGAGTTAAATGCCTACCTATAGGTCAGCAGCGCGCCAGAAGATTTCCTTCGTCGTTGCCAAGTCTCGCGCTGTCCTATGGTCGAGTTCGGCTTTCCAAAGTTTTCATGCAGCAACAAGAAAAATAATCTAAGATTCTCAAACCGTCAACAATAAACAGGCTTAATGTAAAACAAACAATCAGACCATTATTTACATAATATATACACTTTAAAAAGGAACATATAAAAATTGAGACATTCTTTCTCTGCACGCTACGGGGAGGTGCACGTTTCCAGAAAACTCCTGAGTGTTGTTGAGTGTTGTTCAAAGATTATCGGTCACTCAAGCCTATGCTATTTGTATCTTGAGTTACTCCGAGAGATGATGTAAGCAATCAACACAGATAGAGTTATATATTGCACAGGAAATGAGTTGAGAAGACGTGGCCAGCTCACTCGTGATATCAAGAGCTGCTGGGCAGATCTTTAACTGTAGAGAAGTGCACTCCCGTCACAGAATCTAGTCGTATAACGTGACTATTTGTCACGGAACTATCACACACTTGATACACTGAAGGATACCTATAGGTACAGGAGTGTCACACTAACATAAAGCTACCGACCAAGCAGGTAACGAGGAAACACTGAAGGCGACATACCGGTGAGATGAGGGCAAAGATATGCGAATTGAAAAAGCTAATGCCCGAGCTTCAACCAAGTTCTAGAAGGCAACAGGTTGCTAACCAGACTTATTCATACTGAGTAAAATATCCACTCAACTTAGATGCCAAATTAGCTGCAAACAAATGAGCGCACAAGAATTACATTAAGTACCCTGTTTGAGTCTCCTTAGTAACAACCACTATGTACTTGACTTGGTCGCAAGCCTAACGCGTGCTGAGTCCAGATGTCAACATGAGTACATGAGATGTCAACAAATGTACTCTCCTAAGTCCAGATGTCAACATGAGTACATGAGATGTCAACAAATGTACTCTCCTAAGTCCAGATGTCAACATGAGTACATGCGATGTCAACAAATGTACTCTCCTAAGTCCAGATGTCAACATGAGTACATGAGATGTCAACAAATGTACTCTTCTAAGTCCATATGTCAACATGAGTACATGAGATGTCAATAAATGTACTCTCCTAAGTCCAGATGTCAACATGAGTACATTTCTGAAGTGATGCACTCGGAAGAAAATTCACTGCATGAATTAGGCAACATTTTGCGAGTACTCGAGTGCGGAGCTGTAAATTCTAATTGAGGGAACTCGTTGAAACATGAATGAAGCATTTAACTCAACGTGCTGTGAATATAAGCAAATGAAAGTTAACAGATTTTGGATGAAGCTTCATTCATGGGAGGTTAGCTTTTCTAACCACAATTATTAAACGTTAATTTATAATAGTGAAATCTCAATGAAAATATGGCTAAAAAAATCATTGAAAGCTCAAAAAAAGCCTTTTATAAAGTTTTAATATAAAAGCTGTAACAAATTATTTTAGCAATTACAAAAATTCATATAAACTGGCGAGAATATAAATTGAACAAACCAGAAAATAATTTTATTTTCAACACTTTTCTTTATATTTTTCGACAAAAAAATGATTGCACGAGGAAAATTTGGGCTGTCCCAGCATTTCAGCAGGCGAGACTCGTTCTGTCCCGCGTCTGCGGTAGCACCACACAATTCAAGTGGCAACCACATTTCAATTACTATGTATTACCCAAAGTCATGTCTCTGCTGTATTATTTAATGTGTTAAAGCGCGAAGAGAACAAATCGATGCACCAATAAATAAACAACTTCGGAAATAAATATAAATAAACTAATGCCTGTTAGTTTTTGTCAAGGATTTCAGTGCTTTTGTCGATGCAGTAAAATTTATAGCGATTTGCGAGGCGATTTTTCTTTGAAAAATGCACGGAATAAATTAAAGTTGAATATAATTATGCTGGAGCTCTGCTATTGTTGTTAAAATCCTAATCATGATATAAAAGTTGGAAAAATTGGAATTTAAACTTAAAAGTTATTTGTAATCGATTGATTAATGGTAAAGCGATAATTTCCTTTAAAAACACACATATGTACAAGATTTTCTGACACTTATGAGGAGCAATATTTTGAAATAACATATATTTGTCTAATACTGATGATGTAACACCCAAGAGTTCTACACAATAGAACAAAGTTATAGTTTAATCTTCATTTTTAAACTTTTAAATATTTTAACGACCTAAATATCTTGTTTTCTCTTCTCGGAATCTTGCGTAATTTCGCCATGCACCCACGACATTTCCCCGACCTATGCATCTAATGCACTCGGTTGTACGCCACGCAGTTCGAACGACGCGACATTGCATTGGTGTACGAAAAATTCTTAATTAAAATGCTTGGTTATTCGTTCGTTCCGAACCCTACTTTTCGTGAGCTTAAAGCAAGAATGTGAACGTTGAAAGGATTTGCGTTAGTCGGCTACACGAATTTCTCTTGTACATGCCGGCCACTAATGAGTGGATTAACTTAACTAGAATGAAAATTAATGGATTGAATGGGAACTAAAAGTGACAGTTAGCCAGCAGTTTACTGTCGGTAGTAAGGTAGACTTTGTCGTAAGTGAGACTACTTAGAGTTAGTCATTAAGGTTAGCAATTTCGCCCAATTACGTAGCGCTACAACTTCAATTTTCATGCAGGTTTTTAACAAGTCTGTAATTTTCAAGCTCAATATTCCTCTTGGTTCGGAGCTTCCAAAGATTTCAATGTATTTTCAATTACAGTTTTTGGGAGCAAAAGAATGAGGCGGATAAACAAAAACGAAAAACTGGCTAACGAGAGGGCAACTAATACAAGTGCGAACTGTTCAGAACATGAATGACCCGGAAATAAGCGACGTTACGTCAGTAAACGAATAAAAAACATAAGGGCAACTCAGGAATCTTGACATGGTGAAATACTTGGACATAGACATAATCCTGACATGGTGATATTACAAATCTAAAAACTCAATCAACAGGTCAAGGTAGGGGGGGGGGGGGGGGGTGAATGAGCTCTGAGAAGTAGAGCACGTTATACAAACACGAAATGCCGGTACAAAATAATAAGAATTCATTTACTTCGATTAAAGTACCTTGGTTCACGCTTAGCCAAACTCACCAGGCATCTCACGTTGGAATAACGTCGATTACAGGTTGTACATAAAAAACCGTAATCAACGATGTTTCAACGTTTTTTGTCTGGAGGGAACTTTGCGATGAGAGCTCCACCATACCATATCAGTCCCCACATCGCAAGGCTTCAACGTACTATCAAACACAACTAACTTCAGCAAGTATATTGATTTCAATTTAATTTTATAAATTTCTTATGAAAATGTTACAGAAATTCCGATAAATAACTTCCAACAGAGCAAGCTTTATTTAACATCTCTTATAATGTTTATTTGAATCCAATGCAGGAAAATAAAGCCTATTACATCCTCTATAATTTTCAGCGTTAAATATTCTATAAGAGTTGATACCTTTTGAGAGACCCTTGTTTATAATCCTATGTTTGTTTCCATATAAGACTTGCTTTTGTTACATTATCAATATATTACATCTGATATTTTTCTATTAATAATAATAACCATAATAATGTTATCAAAAACGAAGTATAGCTTACCTAATACCACAAGGTTAATCACTATTAGGTGACGTGGGTATTTTCGTATCATTATGTCATCTAAAATGATATATTTTGAATACAGTCGAGGTATATAATATATCATAATCAATGACGGTAACACACAAAAATGGTCAAAGGTTATTACGTCTATGGTAGCATACTAGTTGAGAAGGTTAGGGCAGAAATCAACCTCCGACGAATAGGTCTTATTGCTGATAATCTTCCAGTGACCTATTCCTACTGTTCAGGTAAAACATGGAATGATGCAAGGAAGGAAAACGAGTTTAGTGAGAAGGATGAGAATTAGTCTTCTCATAGAGAAATAGTTGAATACATGAATGCTTATCAACAGTCCCTGACGAAGCCTTTTGAAGTCCGACGACGTTATTCAATTCCAAAAAGTCTTGATCCAAAACGTAGCTTTAGTTGTAGCGATTATAATTCGTATTAAACTCACGATAATAGTTTGGCTTTAGTGAGACAACCTGCCACTTCTAAACAATAAAACTGAACTGCACTGTTGATCCCAAGGAACGATTTGGCTAAATGTTGTTACGTGAAATGGTCATTCGATCTCGAATTTAGATCTGAGAGTGCTTCTGTTTTTTTTTTAATTTACGGGTTAATTTGTTGAAGCTTAATTTTTTGTATTAACCGGGACGGCAAATTTCCTTCTAAATTTGTGAAAAAATCTATAGAGAAAGTTAGATGGGCAATGGCACTTCAACTTGAGTAACCTAGGGGGAGCCAGAGCGGGGCACCAGCTATCAAGGGTCACTTGGGCAACATAACTAAAGCCTCCAATAATGTACAGAGCTTAAGAAATGCCGGAAAAGGCACTGAAAAGGAAAAGAGGTTCAAATCAAAATATAATTATTAGTGAACAGGAGAGGCAAGAGTTCAGACACATGTTCCTTAAAATAATTTTGGACACGGAGGTAAACCTAACCCGCTCAGCAGGGTCGAAAACATGCGTTTCGAGATTGGTTCTTCTTGTTTGTAAGACCGTGACATTTTTTGGCATGTTCACTCACAAGTTTGCACTAAACGTGTCTAGATCACACACTGCTTTTATATTTCATAGAAAATGGGAGCACTTCATTTAGACACTTAAAGAGATACTACGGTAATTCAGGAGAAGGAATATCACAAAGAACAACTCTAGGTAGCACCGAACTTCCGACCATCCACTGACCACTGGAGCTCCACGGCCTTCAACAATGAGCCACAATGTCTGCTTTTTCTTTTGTTATCGGACATTTACACGATTATTTTTCCATGTTGATCACTGAAACGATAATAAACAGCTGTAGCAGTTGCCAGGAGACTGAAGAGGTCATGTCACGAGGGAGATGTGCATCTAAGAGGGTCTAAATAGTGAGTCAGAGCCAAAACTACGAGGCCGCCTAGCAAATTTGGTTCGTTTTCGAGGCGCTGCGACTGAAGGTAGACAGCAGCGCACAGGACGGAACTTTGTTGAGGGAATTTTTCCTTCATCGATGTCACTTTGATTCAATTATGAAAGACTGCCAGAAAATGGCGATTGTTTGATGTAATGACTTTAGGAACAAACTCAATTAATATTTGATTTAGTCAACAAGAAATTCAAAATTAAATCTGAAGAAAGCAAGTTACTTGAAGTCACAAAACAAATAAAATCCATTCTCGACCTTTATACAATATTTTTTCGTGAAATCTGAGTGATACAAAATAGAATTAAAATTACTTGCCAATATTAAATGCTATGATGGAAATTTCCATACCAGGAAATTTCATAGAAATAGACCACCATATCAAATATTCAACACCGAATTTTGAGGTGATACATGACGTCTGTTTAATGAGCGTTTAATCGATGTTCCAAGCTCAGAGTTGAACCATAATTGTTGTTGAATGCTAGCAGGAGTGTTGAATGCTAGCAGGAGTGTTGAATGCTAGCAGGAGTGTTGAATGCTAGCCGGAGTGTTGAATGCTAGCAGGAGTGTTGAATGCTAGTAGGAGTGTTGAATGCTCGCCGGAACTGTTGAATGCGGCTAAGAGCTGTTGAATGCGGCTAAGAGCTGTTGAACGCGAGTAAGAGCTGTTGAATGCTCGCAGAAGCTGTTGAATGCGGGCAGGAGCTGTTCAATGCGTGCAGGAGCTGTTGAATGCGTACAGGAGCTGTTGAATGCTTGCAGTTTCAATGTATCAACGGGTTTGTTGGCTCATTAGCAGCTCTGCGGGAGCTTCACGCTGAGATCTGATCATTGAAAGACCAAGGCAGAAAATAAAATTACTCAAATAATTTAACAATTTTCAAATTGAATTCAGCCATGTGGAACAAACTGAATGAGAAACTGTTGAACGAACTAAATTGTAACCCACAAATTCAAATTCTTTACCGAGCTGAATTAAAAATTATTGAACAAGTCGAATTAAAAAAGCTTAATCAAGTTGAATCAAAATGTTGAACAAGTTGAATTTAAAAATGTTCACCAAATTGAATTTAAAATGTTGAACAATTTTCCAAATTAGGATAGATTTGAGATTAATATTATTTGTCCGATAGGCTTTTTCCAGCTGGTAAGAGGTCAGCTGCTGAGTTGCCAGATGGAATAACAAGGGAAGCAGCTGAGAATGCAGCTGAGGCGGCCGCTGGGGAGGCAGCTGAGAATGCAGCTGGAGCGGCCACTGGGGAGGCAGCTGAGAATGCAGCTGAGGCGGCCGCTGGGGAGACAGCTGAGAATGCAGCTGAGGCGGCCGCTGGGGAGGCAGCTGAGAATGCAGCTGAGGCGGCCGCTGGGCGCTGAGAAGGCAGGCCGCTGGGCTCCAGTGGGCAGGCAATGGTTCAGCGGTCGGGCTTGGCACTCACTCCGGCGAGACGCCTGCATCAGGGAAAATAATTCAGTGGGAGGGTAGAAACGGTAATAACAATTCAGTGGGAGGGTAGAACGATGAAAATCATTCAGTGGGAGGGTAGAAACGATAGGAACAACTCATATTCTAAAAAAATTTGGGTGCGGGCCCGACTCAGAAACTGGTGCCGCCTTGGACTCTTAAATTATCTGCTAATGTTCGCTCGGCCGGGCTTGAAGTGCAGTTTCTGTGTAGGAACAAGATCATTATGATCCAGGATACACTTGTCATATTCTCCGGGCACACTAGTTATCTTCTCAGGACACTATTAACTCGGAAAGAAGATTCTGACCAGGAGCTAATTTCGATCGGGTGGCCAAGCTGACACAGAATAACTCAAGCCGAGGGGGAGCGCAACAGTGCACCATAAATTTGTGCCCCATTCAGCCCTGAACAGAAGGCCTAGCGTATTTCCATAAGTCCATCAATCAGCCACTTATTAATCCTGCTGTCAGTAACCAGCCCATGACATCATCTTGTGTTAAATATCAAGAGCTTTACGCCACCATAATCTAAAGCTAACAGATCAGAGTGCAATGATCGTTCGCCACTGAACGCTACCTCGAATCAGCACTTCATACCCTGACTTTAGGTTGAACTGTAACTAAGGACAACGGACTGCGATCAATCCGCCTAGCTCGATAGTGGAACTGCAAGAATCCTTCCGTGCACCACCAGACCGCGGAGCGAACAAGACTTCTGACGCTTCGTTGAATTACGTAACATTTAGCTCACAGCATCTGGGGTTAGGTTTCATATAGCATAGTTATGTACCAAAATCTATCGTCCGCTGACGAGCAACTTCCGAAACTTCTTTAAATTACGTGTAACTTATAGCTCACAGCATCTGGGGTTAGGTTTCAGATAGCATACCGATAGTTCTGTCCAAAAGCTTTGCCGCCGATCGACCGTGTGCTGATTCGATGCAAAGGATGAATACGGACGGGTTGATGACGGTCACATATTTGTTGCAAGGATCCCGAGTGCGGTGTCCGAGTGGTGCTGAATTTTTTCGGCAACTTGCAGACGATTCTGTGCCAAACTATTGCAGGCTGTTTTCCTGTGGGCTGATTGGTCTACTTCAATGGATATGATCTGTCTAGTAGTTTGCGGCTGATAATGTTACAGTCAAGAAGTGTTACAGGCTACGTTCATGAGGAAAGGGATCATTAAAGTCCATTCGAAAAACAGCAGTGGTTGTCGCCGACAGGCATATCCTGGGCAGAAGCTTAAACGGTATCCAAATTTTGATAGAGATCCGATTGTTAAAACAGTGAAATCCATTCACTAAACGAGGCAATCATTGATAAGCCATGATTGGTGAGGAGAAGGATGAGGGAAGATAAGGGAGGTAAGGGGAAGAAGGTAGGAGGACGATAACAGGAACGTCAGAGTTACCGCAGCTCCCCTTCAACCTACAGCGACCTTCACCCCATCCCACCAAGCTCTCTTCCCCCGATCTCCCCATCACATCTCCTTCCCCAAAGCTCTCTTCTCCACTTCCTGATACGCATGTTTCTAAGAGATGATTGGTGATTGATGAAATACACATTAAGGTTGATAAGAGGCAACTGTTCACAAGTCGCAAGTGATTGTCGCAAAATAGCAGATGATTCGTGATTCATCACCCATGTTTTTGTGATGAACTAAATCATAAAAAACACGATTGTTCTTAATTATGGCGGGAGTTGCAGCAGTTACTCACCTAAATATCAGACTTCCGTCTCTATATTCATGGCGTTGCAGTTACCCACCTAAATATCAGACTTCCGTCTCTATACTCATAGCGTTGCAATTACTCACCTAAATGTCAAACGTCCGTCTCTATACTCATGGCATTAATGTTGTTGTTGTGGCGGGGGTTGCAGTTATGCTTCTTGGTTATCTCCTGCGGGATGAGTAAGCCTTGCTCCAGCTCCATGATGTCGGAGGAAGACTCGGAGAATGAGTCCTTCTTCAGGTGTTGGCCTGTGACAAGAGGAGGTTATCTGTTAGTAGTATAACAGGCGGTTATCTGTTAGTTGTATAACAGGGGCTAATCTGTTAGTAGTATAACAGGGGCTAATCTGTTAGTAGTATAACAGGGACTAATCTGTTAGTAGTATAACAGGGGCTAATCTGTTAGTAGTATAACAGGGGCTAATCTGTCAGTAGTATAACAGGGACTAAGCTGTAAGTAGTATAACAGGGACTATTCTGTCAGTAGTATAACAGGGACTAAGCTGTAAGTAGTATAACAGGGGCTAATCTGTTAGTAGTATAACAGGGGCTGATCTGTTAGTAGTATAACAGGGGCTGATCTGTTAGTAGTATAACAGGGGCTAATCTGTTAATAATGTAACAATGAGCTTGCGTGAATTTCACGTCGTGACAGGTTGTAATCTTGTCGCATTATTAGAAGTATGAACTGCAAACCAATAATATTTACATGTTGTTTTCAGTGTATTGTTCCTTTTATTCACTCATTCTTAACGAATAACAATATTTTTGTTCATTATTAAAGTGAATTTGTGAATAGATCAATATTGTTCCACGACGTGCAGGAAGGAATGTGTCACTCATGTTAACCCTTTCACGGGTAAGTTACCATATATGATCACTTGAAATCGCGTCACAAAAAGCCGCACCACGGCTTCCTGTTTGTTTTTGAGGCATCCTTATAATGCCTCAGTCAATCACTAATTATCTGACCATCGTTCTATCTATAGCATCACCAGCTGCAAAGTCCACAAATTGGAATATGAGCATTTAAATGAAGGTTTTGACTCGGGCAATGGAACTGACGCTCTTTCCGCATTTTCTTCAAAAGGTGGAAGTATCAATATATATATTTATTTATTTGGGCAATTTGATTAAATTTAATTAAATTAAATTTTTATGTTTCTAATTTTTCATTTGCATAAACTGAATTTTAATTATAAAGAAAAATTTTGTGTACTGATCGCATTTATTGAATTCTTCAAGTGCGATTTAAACCTTCAATAGGCAAACTTTGCAAAAATTCATAGAAATAAATATATTGTATAATACTTCTTACTTTCTTGAAATGGTTTCTGAAATTTTAATTTCTGTATATTTCAATGTTTGCCCGCTAAAGGGTGGGAACGACGAAGATTACCTCTAAATATTATTCATATTGAAATATATTAGGCATATTCATTGATATACGATCTATGAAAGAAGTGTTACAAATAAATATTAGTTTAAATGTCGCCCTCAGTTAGTCGTGAAATTATAAATATATGTATGTAAGCCTTGTTGACTCAAGACTTAAGTTTTAATACTCACATTGTAAATTATGTATAATTAGCAAGCTATGCCATAGAACTCGTGTTCTAGGGTTTTAAAGCGAGTGATCAAGGATCTCTAAGCTTACTTTGTTTAGTTAAAGCTATCAAGCGATTTTCTTACTGAAATATAGTGATAAAATCTACAGCACAAGCGATAATAGACACAATGTAATAGGGAGCCTACAATTCTTAATATGAAAAAATAATTTGTAATAGATATTTTTGGACATTTAACCTAATTTCGATACTTCGATTTATTTCGAAATAGATTCATTTATTCGAAATTAAAACTTTGAAACTGACAAATTGAGTAATGCAATTCAAAATGAGCTTCACTCTCAATTCGTGAAGCAATTTCAGGGCAAGTCTGTAAAATTCCGTGAAAATGTCCTAACGATGGTGACTTGCGAGATGATGGAGAGGTTCACTATTGCACATTAGAGGCATATGTATCAGTACTCCTGATGATACCGGTACTAGAATGATATGAATGGTAGTAATGGTAGCATATATAGTACCGCTTGGACCTAGCGATCTTCAATCAACTGACAAATGGCAGCGATGGTGAGAAGGGTGAAAGTAGTAGCGTTCACCAATGGTTAAAAGTGCTGAAAATTAGTGGAAAAGCAGCAGGATGAAATGATTGATGATAAGATGATGGTAGCAGCACTGACCAACAGTACCCGGCAGGTAGGGACAGCTGGTGACGTGGTTGAAGTTCTGACTCTGCATTTCCTCCTGGTCTGTCTCCAGGTGGTAGAAGTAATTGAAGTTCGACACGATCACGGGCACGGGCAGCGCGATCGTTAGCACGCCTGCGATCGCACACAACGATCCCACGATCTTGCCCCACACCCCCACGGGTCTGCGGGACACAAGGAATACACGGGTAATGAGGCGTCTGGCCCCACACCCCCACGGGTCTGCGGGACACAAGGGATACAAGGGTAATGAGGGGTCTGGCCCCACACCCCCACGGGTCTGCGGGACACAAGGAATTCACGGGTAATGAGGACCCTTGCCCCACACCCCCACTGGTCTGCGGGACACAAGGAATAACGGCGCTCGAGAACAGCACGACACCTGCGCGGTGAAGAGGTAGACGAAAGAGGTGCACGGCGCTGCTGAACAGCACGACACCTGCGTCGTAAGAGGTAGATGAAAGAGGTACACGGCGCTCGAGAACAGCACGACACCTGCGCGGTGAAGAGGTAGACGAAAGAGGTGCACGGCGCTGCTGAACAGCACGACACCTGCGCGGCGAAAAGGTAGAAGAAAGAGGTACACGGCGCTGCTGAACAGCACGACACCTGCGCGGCAAAGAGCGAGATGAAAGAGGAACACGGCGCTGCCGAACAGCACGACACCTGCGCGGCGAAGAGGGAGATGAAAGAGGAACACGGTGCTGCTGAACAGCACGACACCTGCGCGGCGAAGAGGGAGATGAAAGAGGATCACGGCGCTGCTGAACAGCACGACCCCTACGCGGCGAAGAGGGAGATGAAAGAGGAACACAGCGCTGCTGAACAGCACGACACCTGCTGCGGTAAAGGGGGTGAAGGGAGTAAATAGAGTGACGCTGCCGTAGAGCACGATTCCTGTGGAGTGAAGGGGGTGTAGGAGTGTTTCGGTACGTATTTCTAAAACATAAATGTGGTCAATGATAGATATGTGAGCTGACAGGTGGCTGTGCAGAGAAAAATTTAATGGGAATTACTTAGATAAGTGAATGGTGATGATGGATAGGCAAAGAAAGAACTTCACCTGACCAATGGATAATGAATTCAGGCTTATGAGTAACTTAGAGCTCAGTGTTGCAGGCACGACCCATCACTCACCGATGAACAAGAAGAAGATGAGGAGCCCCAACTCTCTCATGGAAGCCTTGAGTGTTCTTCCTAGGATTTGCAATCCTTTAGAGTGCCGGGATAGTTTGAATATCCTGAATACTCTGACGAGTCTAATAACTCTAAGGATTGCTAATGACATGGCTTGATTTGACCCCTTCTCGTGAGGTGACAGCTTCTCCACAGGGATGACCATATCCTTCTCCTTCTCCTCAGCCACGACGGTGGCCACGGTAATGAAGTACGGGATGATGGCCACGATATCGATCACATTCATGACGTCTTTTAAAAAATCACCTTTATTAGGCGACGCGAAAAATCTCACCAGTAATTCAAATGTAAACCATATTATGCATATTGTTTCTATTAAGAAAAATGGATCAGTCACTTCAGGCACTTCATCCTCCTCGATGACAGTGCCGTTGGCAGTCGTATTGTACACTTTGTAATGCTTGAACTCGGGTAGAGTTTCTAAGCAGAATATAACTATAGACAATAATATAACTATAACAGAGATGATGGCTACCACACGCGCGTTCTGAGAGCTCTCAGGAAACTCAAACAATAACCAAACTTTGCGCTGGAACTCGTTGTCGGGCAGCGGTCTCTCCTCCTCCTTGATGAAGCCTTCGTTCTCCCTGTAACAAAGAGACGAGTCAATGCAGCGTAGATACGTCAGGATACGTATGAGGTAAGTGGGTCGTGGTCACATATAAATGATGAATGAAGAAACATGAGTGGCTAGTGGGTCGTGGTCACATATAAATGAAGGAACATGTGAGGCTAGTGGTTCATGGGCACAGATGCGGGAAGAAATGGTTGTTAGCCACAGATACGTGAAGAAAAATGTGATAAAAGTGGAAATTTTTCATTGATACTTGTGGATATGTTGAAGAAAAATGGTTCGTGGCCAAAGCCATGTGAGAAGAAGTGTAAGAAGCGTTGTTTGTGTTCACAAATACCAAAGGATACGTGTAAGAAAAAATGTCAAGCTCTCGGGTACGTGAGTAAACGTTCAAGAAAGGTCGACACAATTTTCATAAGGATGGTGAACATGAAAAAAAGATAGATTGATTTAATTTTGAGATAAGTTAGGATATTGAGGATACATAAAGCGATTAACGAGATATAAGTATTTAGGGTAAACGTGAATATTTTTTACGTTCGTTATTTAACATAAAGTACAAAAAATGATAATAACAATAATAATTCCAAGATGTGTCAATACCGGCATTAGAGTTATATTAAAATCTAGCATTTCGATCATCGTTTGTTCTTTAAGTCGTAATCGAATAGGAAAACCAGATATGTTACAAGTTTGTTCTAATTTAAATTACAAACATTAAATGAACATTAAGAAAAATATTTTATTCCCATTGACCTCCATTACAAAAGACATTTTAATGCAATCAATTTATGTTGAAGATGAAGCGCTGCACGAGAGGCTGAAAAGTTTGAACGTAGTTCATATACTTTAAAATAATGGAGTTTAAAGTATTCTGTTTTCCTCTAATTCTCATTTAGCGAGTTGAAGAAGGTTCAACTTTAGTCAATTTACACCGCACATTTGAACTTTCTTCGAGACCTAAATCTGACTTGGCCAGCAAGTTCCATCCAACTTAAGTCGCTTGCCCTCTACAGGCGCATTTGGCTCGCCTTGCTTCTTTTATTCGTCATTTTGCGCAGGAAAATTCTTATAATAAAGAAGAGTTTACGCAGAACGCACGGCTCTTTCTACGAACACGTACTAATTATATATTTGAGAAGCTTTGCATATTTATTGTGAGATGATATTTATTGTAATAGAATATTTATTTTGATGTGATATTTGTTGTGATAAGACATTTATTGTGATAGGATATTTATTGAGATTGGATACATATTGTGAGATGATTTTTATTGTAAGATGATATTTCTTGTGATATGATAATTATTGTGATATTATATTTATTGTGAGACGATAATTATTGTGATATTCGCACAAGAAAATTCTGTCAAGAGTTTCAAGCGACAGCTCATTTAAATAACGCAAGTTACTTGAAGACATAATTTCTTTCATTAACCAAGAGCATTCTGAGACTTTTTGTCGTTGTTCATCCTCATAACGTTAATTGTACAACTCAGGGACGGTGGCCATATGAAGATCTCAAACGTTTCAGTTCATATACATGGAATGACGTCACTTGAACCTACACCCAGGAAGCTAAGGGGTTTATATTGTCCAATTAGCAAGACACTTTCTTCTAACAGCACTTGAAGAGAGCGGACGTAATACTTATACACTATTTTGCAGGCAAAATTGCGTACAGAGTGCATTGTTATTTGGACTAAGTAAATGTGATAATTTCTAATTTTTCGATACTACATTACTAACTAAGAGGCAGATGGAAAATTATATCAATGCAAAATTCAGTTCATTTACACGTTATTCGTCAGTTGCTCAGTTCATAAGTGGTAACTCACTTGAGTCTTTATGACTCACTTGAGTCTTAATGACTCACTTGAGTCTTTATGACTCACTTGATTCTTTATGACTCACTTGAATCTTTATGACTCACTAGAATCTTTATGACTCACTTGAGTCTTTATGATTCATTTAAGTCTTATTGGCTCACTTGAGTCTCTATGACTCACTTGCATCTCTATGACTCACTTGAGTCTTTATGAGTCACTTGAGTCTCTATGACTCACTTGCATCTCTATGACTCACTTCAGTCTCTATGACTCACTCGCATCTCTATGACTCACTTCAGTCTCTATGACTCACTTGCATCTCTATGACTCACTTCAGTCTCTATGCCTCACTTCAGTCTCTATGCCTCACTTCAGTCTCTATGACTCACTTCAGTCTCTATGACTCACTTCAGTTTCTATGCCTCACTTCAGTCTCTATGCCTCACTTCAGTCTCTATGCCTCACTTTAGTCTTTATGCCTCACTTCAGTCTCTATGACTCACTTCAGTCTTTATGACTCACATGAGTCTCAATGACTCACTTAAGTCTCTATGACTCACTTTAGTCTCTATGACTCACTTGAATTTATTAGTCGCTCCCTCCCCGAGCTCGTAAAACTTGATCTCCTCAGCGAAGACATCGAGGGGCACATTAGCAGGCCTGCGTAGTCTGCCGCCGCTCTGGTAATAATACAAAATAGCGTCGAAGCTCGGCCTGTTGCGGTCGAAGAAATACTCGTTTCTGAGCGGGTCAAAGTAGCGGATCCTTCGCGCCGGGTCCCCGAGCAGCGTGTCCGGGAACTGGTTCAGCGTCCGGATCTGCGTCTCGAACCGCAGACCGCTCACCTGCACCACAACAAGCGATTAGTCAATGACTAGTTGGTGTGATTAGTCAGTGACTAGTAGGTGTGATTAGTTAGTAACTAGTTGGTGTGATTAGTAGACCTGCCAACACAATGTTTATTGTTAGTTTAAATTAATAAGCGACCTGCCAACACAATGTTTATTGTCATTTTAAATAAATATTATTTATTACGATTGTGAATGAATAAAACTAATTATAAGTTCTAATAAATAATTTTATTATAAGTATAAATTATTAAAATTCATGAGTTTGAATGAATAATATTTATTGTCAGTGTAAATTAATAATATTTATTGCGATTGTGAATGAATAAAACTAATTATGATGTTGGGGATTGAACTGATAACGAATTTGTGATTTTGCGTTAGAAAGAGTTAGACGTGACCTTGTCCAAACTAAGAAAGCGGATTCAGTATCGTGTGTGCCATGGATGTGTAAGGTACGTCTTGTGTTGATAGGATTTGATGAATAAAGTGAATGTTAGGTATAGAGTTAGCTGTGGTTTCCATCTGTGTATACTTTTTTGTAAATATTTCAGTAGCATTTATTAGTGATTTTATTCGTGCTGATTATTAATCGGATATTCATGTTTAGATTAATACCTTGTTAGATATTTATTTGTTCCATTTGTGTGTTTCAGGAGTCTCAGCAATAGTCTTAGAAATAGCTCAAAATCTCGGAACCTCAAGAATAGCCAAATTCAGCAATAGTCTCGAAAGTGTCTCGTTCTGGTTTCGGTGTTTACGTGTTTACCAAGGCTTGGTTTTAATATGTAATAAAGATAAATCAGAACTCTTTTATCACTTTGGCCAATGGGAAGGACCTATACGATCACCTGGCTGAACAATGCAGGGATGAAGATTGTTTTGTTTTATTTTTGTTGGAATGCGCCCCTAGCAATAAGTTTAATGAATAATAATATTATAAGTATAAATTAATAAAATTGATTAGTTTGAATAAATAATATTTATAATTGGGTTTAAAAGAGCAATATTTATTATCACTTTAACCGGACAATATTCATTCCGAATGCGCATCAAATTATTGATTAATAATCTTATAATTATTACACAGTTGACTTTCGTCATTCCGTTGCCATGAAGTTTATTACCTCCATGCAAAAAGTGTTGAATACGAGATAATTTCGTTAAAACAACGTTGATTGCGAGTTGATTTCGTTAAAACATCGTTGAATACGATAAAACATCGTTGAATACGCGTTGATTTCGTTAAAACATCGTTGAATACGAGTTGATTTCGTTGAAACATCGTTGAATACGAGTTGATTTCATTAAATATCGTTGAATACGAGTGAATTTCATTTAAACAACGTTGAGTACGCGTTGGTTTCGTTGAAACAACGTTGATCACGAGGAAGAATTGCTTGGCTGATGAACGATATCGGGGCTGAGGAATCATCGCGAGGCTGGTTTAATGGTCGCATTAGTTCAAAATAATTTGAGGTGTGTAACTTAAATACTGGGAGTAAAGTCCGTAGACTTCATTACTGGATGTCGGCTAGGATTTGGTCTTGATGTACTGGGGAACTTGACGAGCCATAAGAAATTGGCGCCTAATGAGTCGTGGGCGCCCAAACGGCGTAAGCCAAAAAGGATGGGCGCCTAGAAAGACATAGGCGCCATAACAGAGTGGGCGCCTGCTAATGTGTGGACGCCTTATATGGTGTATCAGGCGCTGGGCGGTCGTTGGTAGCTGGGGTCGTAGCCCCCACATGGCAGGAAGATGCCGTCTTAAGTCCTGACATGCGCTGTTCATCGGGAGCAGGATGACACAAACCTGTCCACACAAACCTGTCCACACAAACCTGTTCACACAAACCTGTTCACACAAACCTGTTCACACATACCTGTCCACACAAACCTGTTCAAACAAACCTGTCCACACAAACCTGTCCACACAAAGCTGTCCACACAAAGCTGTCCACACAAACCTGTCCACACAAACCTGTCCACACAAACCTGTCCGCACAAATCTGTCCACACAAATCTGTCCACACAAACCTGTCCGTACAAGCCTGTCCGCACAAGCCTTACGACACAAACCTGTCCAAACAAACCTTACGACACAAACCTGTCCACACAAACCTGTCCGCACAAACCAACACAGCTTAGCTGAGAAAAAATAAAGGGCGAAATTGTACAAAGTGACGCACTTTCTTACCAGGAGCAGCGACGGGACGTAGCACTGATCCTTCCTATTGCCGAGCCCGACGAAGTAAGGGTGACCTACACGAGGTACAAGTACATCGCTACTAGGCAAATGCACCACTTATTTATGCTACTGTGCCATCGATGTTCCTCCAGTTCCGATCGCTAAGAAGATGCTGATCAGGTGTGCTAACTGGCTGAACTCATGTGAATAGCATGATGATGAAAATTACATAGTATCATATCCCTTGAAATGGCCGATTCAATGAGCGTCCAAATGCCACACACAAAACTTACGGCGTCATATAATCCGTCGCGGACATGAGCACGGTGCGAGAGTTGCCTCGCTATAGGTTCAAGTCTTAGCAAAATGAAAATCGGAACAGTGCGCTCAACCGCAACAACGTTTAGACGTGACATAAGTTGATTTAAAGTTATTCAAATTTATGGGTCTAATTCCGAGGTCATGCCTTAAATAACGTTCAAAAAAAGTTTTATATTTAATGATATTTGCGAATTTTAACGGCAAATTATTGGACGCCAGCAAAAATAAGAGCCAACTGCAGGCCACTACAGAGATAGAACTTCAGGCCACTACAGAAAAAACCGGCAGGCCACTACAAAGACCGAGTTCCCTGTCATTACAGAGAAAAGCTGCAGGCTACTGCAGAGATGAAACTGCAGGCCACTACAGAGACTAAGCTCCTCGTCACTACAGAGATGGAACTACAGGCCACTACAGAGATGGAGCTTCTTGTCAATACAGAGATGGAACTATAGGCCACTACAGAGATGGAGCTTCTTGTCAATACAGAGATGGAGTCGTTCGAGTGCGGAAGAAACGAAGCTCCACGTTCCGCATGTCGCCAAGTGCCCCTGTTTTGCACAGTCGCTGCTTTGCAAATCCTGGCGGACTATCGATTTCCAGCTGAGCCCTTACGACAGCGAGGCTCCTGGCGAGGCTGGTGCTGGGAACGCTGCCTTCCACCTTTCCTGGAAGCGAGTGTTGGTGCCAGGAGCTGGCAAGACCCTGCCTTCAGCCTTTTGTTGGAAGCGGAGGCTGGTACCAGGATCTGGCAAGGCGAAGCCTTCACCCATTTCTGGAGGCGATGTTTGGTGCCAGGATCTGTGAAGGCGAAGCCTTCAACTATTCCTGGAAGCGGTGGTTTGTGCCAGGATCTAGCAAGGCGAAACCTCCAACCTCTCCTGGAAACGAGGGATGTGGCTAGGAGCTGACAAGACGCTGCCTCCAACCTTTCCTGGAAGCGAAGGCTGTGGCCAGGAGCTGGTGAGACGCTGCCTCCAACCTTCCCTGGAAGCGAAGGCTGTGGCCAGGAGCTGGTAAGCTTATAGAATCAAACGGCATAAAGATGTTGAAATACGAGGCTTGGAACCGCAGAAATGGCTCGGATTGCTTGAATAAATTCTGAGATTGTAAGGGCGTTTTTACAATGTCCTAAAAAACCTAAATGAACGTAAGTATTCCTATACCTGCTGTACCTTTCAAAAAGAATCAAGCGGCACATGAAAGAAAGCCAAAATTGCTTGAAACACCCATAACTATAAGAAAGAATGAAGAAACAAGCCACCGCACCGACGCATAAGAGGAAGTGGAGGAGAAAAGGAAAAAGAAGTAAGAAACCAAGCCACCGCTCGACGCTCGCAAAGAGCGTCAAATTATTACGTCGTTCGTAGGAAGAAAGAGGAAAGAAGAAAGAAACCAAGCCACCGTACCAACGCTCGGGAAAAGGTGGAGAAAGAAAGGGGAAAGTAGAAGGAAACCAAGCCACCGTACCAACGCTCGAGAAGAGGTGGAGGAAGAAAGGGGAAAGAAGAAAGAAACCAAACCACCGTACCAACGCTCGAGAAAAGGTGGAGGAAGAAAGGGGAAAGAAGAAAGAAACCAAGCCACCGTACCAACGCTCGAGAAGAGGTCAGAAGGCTGGCAAAAGAATGAATGAAGAAATAAAAAACGTGGAACGTCCAAGGCACATATTTGCTCATATAGAATTAATTTAATGATTGAGGCTTGTATTTAGGATTTTAACATGATATTGAAGTAAGCTGTTATTTAGAGATGAGCTAATATTTGACTTGAAAGCTAATGATTATTTACAAAGATTAATAATTGAAACGCTCTGCTCTACTGCAGTGATGTTACTGCCACTGCCACCACCACCTATCCCTTCACCACCTGCATCACATCCAGTAACACCACCACCATCACAACCAGTAACACCACTACCACCACCATCTCCACAGTTATCACCACCACCACACGCGCCTCATCCGCTTTAAGCCTGCCTGCGTTAGTCCATCTTCTCTGCTGCTTCGTAGAGCTGTAAGGCGCACCGTAGAGAGCTGTAAGGCGCACCGTAGAGAGCTATAAGGCGCACCGTAGAGAGCTATAAGGCGCACCGTAGAGAGCTGTAAGGCGCACTGTAGAGAGCTGTAAGGCGCACAGTAGAGAGCTGTAAGGCGCACCGTAGAGAGCTATAAGGCGCACTGTAGAGAGCTATAAGGCGCACTGTAGAGAGCTGTAAGGCACACTGTAGAGCTGTAAGGCGCACCGTAGAGAGCTGTAAGGCGCACAGACCGTAGAGAGCTGTAAGGCGCACCGTAGAGAGCTGTAAGGCGCACCGTAGAGAGCTGTAAGGTGCACAGTAGAGAGCTGTAAGGTGCATCGTAGAGAGCTTTAAGGTGCACAGTAGAGAGCTGTAAGGTGCACCGTAGAGAGCTGTAAGGCGCACTGTAGAGAGCTGTAAGGCGCACTGTAGAGAGCTATAAGGCGCACCGTAGAAAGCTGTAAGGCGCACCGTAGAGAGCTATAAGGCGCACTGTAGAGAGCTATAAGGCGCACTGTAGAGAGCTGTAAGGCACACTGTAGAGCTGTAAGGCGCACCGTAGAGAGCTGTAAGGCGCACAGCAGAGAATATTACCATAAAAATGTTCTTCTTTTAAATAAAACAAGTTTCAACTTCATAACGTTCTTAGTTTTTTATTTATTAACAAATTAAAAGGGTTACTTAATTCTGGTTCGCCCTGTATTATGCCTGTAATGAAGCCGGAGCTTCATCGGATTCTACTAACGGTGAACGGCGGTACTTTTTCCGACAACATTTTATTCAAATTTAAACAAGGGCAAAGTTAAAGATAAAAAATGTAATTTAACAAATCACAATCTCATTGAAATATGTACATAATTGGCAAAAGGGATGCCAAGCCCGACAGTTAAATTCGTGTCTTATGGCATCGCACGTCGTTCGTATCCAAATCTCGTTATGATCTACTCGTAGACTCAGACTGACTCAAGGTTTGGGATTTTCACGGAGCCAATCCTGAGGAACAATGATAACTGATATGCTCTTGAATCCTGAAAGTCTTAGTGAATGAAATTAGATGAAACAAGGATACAGTTTTTCATGTTTAATGTTAACACTGATTCCAGTGGCTAACAATATTTAATCAAATAATTAAGCTTACTAATAAAGGCAGCGCTTGCCAACTCAAAACCAAGGCGAACAAGAACATTGGCCCGTCGACGATGCCCAGAAATGGGTTGCTTATCACAGGAATGCTTGGTAACGACTGAACCAAGAGCGCGGCTTAAGTCTCTGATTGTCAGTCTCGATTTCGTGCCTTCTAAATCCATCGTACTACATTAAAAAATTAAGTTTAAAACTTCCTATTACATGACCACGATGTTACGCCGCCTTTGTAGTCCACCGTTTTCAAACAGTCGATTCATGGTCGCCTCGCCACCGGGGCCCAAAGGTAACGTTGACCGCGACTCATTTGAGCCAGCTGATGAACCTTGCACAATGCTGTTGCTTGCCTCCGTGGGTAAAGTGGCATAACCGGAGAATCCAAGATCTTGCTCACAAACACATCCAGTCGTTTCTTGAATGTCGCAAGGATGAACTCTTCCTCTCAGTTACTTTGGCATGGCGTAGAACGGCCTCGGTCCGGCCACGGAAAGAAATCCCTCCCGAAGGGTCTGAACGCTGGCCGAGGCTCGGTTGTTAAATAGGGGAATTTTACACAATCACCGCTCCTTAATTTCGTTGTTATGTGTCGCTATTTTGAAGGTCACATTTTCAGAGGTGGAAGCCAGTCTGGTTATCATCTTCCCAGCGTACAGTATAATACAGTAATTTTCCTGCTCCTCTCCAGTGAGTACAGTCCCAAAAGCCCAAAATCTGTCCCAGTAGCGCAGGTCGCTCATCGCGTTGATCCTATAGACGTGAAGGTCCGTTGGACTGCCTCCCATTGCCGCACCGCGCCTGCCTTGAGTGGCGCCCAAAACTGGCAGCAGTACTCCAGATGGAGAGCACGAATACTCTGCAGAGTGTAATCATGGGTGTTCCTCCATCTGTTGTCTGCCTTTCGCATATATCGCCGCGATGAGGTCATCGAACCTGGTTTCGGTACTCATCAACACTCCGCGATCTCGAGCAAGTCGCATCTCCTCGATTTCTGTGCCGTCCGATGCCGATTATAGGTGTCGAATCCCAACCTCTGTGCCAACTCTGTGTCTCATTACTTCTAACTTGGTGCCTTTGAATTACATATTATTCACTAGGGCCCAGTCGTGGATTGTGCACAAGCCATCCTGTAACCTCTCGCAGGCCAGATTGTCTGTAATCCTCATCAGCACTCTTGTATCGTCCGCAATGACGATGTAGATGATTGGGCAAGGCGATGTCGGCGATGTGGATGAGGAAGAGGGTCGGTCCTAGCACCGGGCTTTGCAGTACAGCGATTATCACCTTCTCTTCGCTCGATTTCGACGAGTCTCCGATTGCGACAGGTTGTACCCTTCCTGTAAGGAAGTTGTGGATCCACTTTAACACACAGGCTTACTCCTACCCTCAACAGCCTCAGCTTCCTGAAAAGCACCCCCATGGAAAATTTTGTCGACAGCTTAAGCAAAGTTTAGCTATACCACGTCTATGCCAGCTCCCTTTTCCAGAACAGCCACTAGGCGATGATGGTGCTCCAATAACTTTGACAAACAGGAGTGATTTCGTAGTAAACCGTGTTGTCCAGCAGCAGCACCACAGCATCACCACAGTTGCACCACAGCATCAGCACAGTAGCACCACAGCATCACCACAGCATCAGCACAGTAGCACCACAGCATCACCACAGCATTACCACAGTAGCACCACAGCAGCTGACGCGGCAGCTCCTCTTTAACCCGCCGAGCCCCCCTCAGCAACCGCCCCTTAGGCCCCTCTCGGCCTCCGTAGATACATCGCCCCCAACTGCCCCACCCCCCTCGATTTGTTTCTTATATTAAACTGCCTTGCCTGCTGCCCTATTACTGCCTTGCCTGCTGCCCTATTACTGCCTTGCCTGCTGCCCTATTACTGCCTTGCCTGCTGCCCTATTACTGCCTTGCCTGACTGCCTTATTACTGCCTTGTCTGCTGCCCTATTACAGCCTTGCCTGCTGCCCTATTACTGCCTTGTCTGCTGCCCTATTGCTGCTTTGTCTACTGCCCAATTATTGCCTCGGTATTATAGTGATAACGATGTCCAATTCTCCATTTACACTCTCAAGTCTCTATTGACAAAAGTACTTTCATCATTGGGCAGTTTAACTAGCAAGTTTACCACGGATTTAACGCAAAGAAAAATGTTTGGCTCGGAAATTTCAATTCCGACCTATTCTTACTGCCTAGAATATCCAGTGTTTCAATCCCAAAATTTTTAGTAAACCGGTTAACGTTTACCGGCTTGGGAATAAGCCTCTAAAACGTTTGTAGATTCCGTTTTAAATTTATATTTTTCAAACTTTTTCTGAAATAAATGTATCTGAATTATATTTCAGCTGAACGGGTTTCCTCCCTCCTTTAGAAAAATAATATTTTCAGTCCCTCAGAAAAATAAGTCGATTTTTTGTACAAACATATTTCTGAATCTGCTAAAAAAACTGGTAGCAGGTAAATTATTCATTTCACTTAGCCCTACCTTTCTAGCTAGTATAAAATAATGTCTAGATAATCAAAAAAATTGTTTCTGATATATTTCCCAAATCTTCTTTTGCATTTTTTTGGAGAAGAATTTCAAAACTGGCACCTTCTTCATATATAA